AGTGCAGTACATCAGTGGAACGTTTCAAGAGGTGTGCTGGTAGTCGTTAAAAAAAAAAAAACTACTATTGAGTGTTTAGGTATGCTGGTTGTGGGTGTGGCCTTCCCAACTACTAACTACACCTTCATATTTGCAGAGTTTTGATCTTGCGGGAAAGGTTAAGATTCAAGAGTCATTGATAGTGAAACTGAAATATCTGTGTATAAAGTACACCATTCCCTGTCCAGCTACTTTTTGATCTTTTCTTTATCCACCATTACACAAAAACAGTGATGAGCAGCCTAATTCTTTTTCTTTTTTCTTTCTGTTTGGTCTTTTCATGTCATTTTAAATTCAGGGAGGATATTGTGTAGTTTACAAATCTTGCAGTATTAAGAATTAAAACTTTTTTTTGTTGTTGTTACAGTGTAATAGGCAAGCATAATGATTGAGGAATCTCCCTGGAGATGCACGAATTGTGTTTATACTGTTTTTTTTTTTTTAAGGCCTCATCTCATTCAGTATAACTGCACATAAACTTCGAAGTTTCTTTAAACGGTGGAGATTCCATAGTGTCATTGGCATTTCTGAGTCTTTGCTAGCATGTGATCATTGTAACCTTTTATTTCCTTCACTCATAAACTAAAGCATTGTCCTTTGATGCTATATGACAGCATAGCTGATGACAACTGCTTAGTATATTAAGTTTAAAATCATCTATTTACAGCTTTATGCCGACATCGTGTAGTGAAGGTAAAAACAGTGCAGTATACTTTTTAGAGAAGAGGTGATAGGTTGGAGCATGAAGTAGCTTTATTTAGAGATTTAAAAAAAATCATCTTTTCCTTTGAAGAATGACTAGTAATCTGTGCTAGTTTCCCAAATTCATTTAACAATTTCATGTTAAAGTAAGAATCCTTATCTGAAGTTTTGTGTTTTTTCTTTTAATGAAAACTTAGGTTTTTCTTTTATCTCTTATCTCTACCTTTAAATAACTAGAGCCAGTTCTTGAATTTCTCATGAACATATCACTGGGCTTACAATGTTGTATTCATTTTAGGAGCAGCAGTGGACTCAGATAATTTAAATCTACAATGATCCTCTGATCTTATACTCAGTACTGTTTCACACTTCCCCTTTGAACTTTCTCAGCTACTGAGAGTTTTAAAACTTATTTAGGTTAAGAAGTAAACAAAAGGAAAAATATTAGGATGAAAAGGCTGTAAACAC